ACACGGCACACGGCAAAATGTCGGACCAAACCCGACGGCCATCATTTCACGACCAACATCCCATAACCTGCTAGGCTTTTATCAATTTCAAGTAATGTAGGTACTTCTGTCCTATAGTCGTCAAGTACCTAAAACCCAAAACTCCGAGCGTGAACTAGTCTCTAGAAATAACTTGGAAGCACTAACACAAAACCGTCAGTTCGAATTTTGTTAAAAATATCACTTTAGTAGTTCATGACTCCGTGTAATGACCTCGGTCCTCAGTGATCCGCCGCGCCCACCCGCCTCGTGCGGCTTGGTGAGGAATCAAAATGGTTTACTTGCAATCTAACACGATGATAGCGCGGCTTGCTAAGCCTGACCAGCCACCTGCAGGCTGTGATAGTGCCGAGTTGTCTGCAAAATTACGTCACGTTCGTTTTATTGCGACGCGTTTCGGTGCGTTTGCTGTTCAATTGGGTTAGAACGGCCGGCCAGGAGAGGCCACGCAGCCTCCTCTGGAGTCGGTGGGGCTTATCTACCCCCGTCACCGCGCGGGCTACCCTTTATCGGGTCAGGTTCGCTCGCGCGACCGCCAGCGACTAGCCACCCGCGACTAGCGGGACAAAAGGGACGAGGCAGGAAGTACTTTCGATCTGTAATGGATCAGGACCGATTTTGGCCGAGAGGCTTCCCTCGGTGGCGGCGGGCTTCGGGCCTTAGACAACACGTCGCAGCGGCCGGGTCGTTATAAACCATGGCACGGCTCCGAGGCACCAGGCAGGCACCCCGCCGTGCCGTGTCTGTTTTACCTGGCCCTTGATTGCTGGTCACGATCCAGATGGTGCTCACGAGACAAGGGTTACGTGCGGAAAACCAACACCACCTGCCCCCCCCCTTTCCCCTCCTCTACCCCTCGGCAGGGAGCGCACCCGGGGCTCGCGCGCGCGGGCAAATCCGCCGCGGGGTCAATAGCCAGCCGTGTGGCTCCGCGCAAAGGAGGGGAGGGGGGGGGCGGAGGTTCTTTTCCAGTGCCGTGTAAGTGCTCTTTTAGGATGTGTATTCGTTCAACAAGTAACTACACACTGCACGGTGTGCTCGCGGTGGCGTGCTCGCGGGGAGGAATCGCGGAGACTTCAACGCCAGCACCAGAGTGACGCGGTGCGGCTGGCGTCATCACTCGGACTCGGCCGTGCCCCTGCCTGCGGCTCCACCGCCGCTGCTGGGCCGACCCCCTTCCCCCTCTGCACCCTCTTCCTCCCCAGGCCGCCCTATTTCGTCATTGCCGCGTCATTACGTTGTCTCTCCGCCATCATTGTTGTCTTCGCGGACCGCAGCCCCTCGCCGCCGTGGCGGGCCCCGGTGCCGGTGGTGGGTGTGGTGGCCGCCGCCCCCCGGGGTTTCCCTCCCTCCACCCCTTCCACCCCGCACCCACCGCCCCACCCCCCTTTGCGCTTGCGACCGGATTTGGGATTGATGCTTGTCGTTCAGCCGACCGCAGCATTGGATACGGATCGGCGCGTTGGATCGGGTCGGATCTGCTGCAGTCACCCACCCCCCCACCCCCCGACGCCGTCGCCGTGACCGGCCGGTCCCCCCCCCCCCCCACGTCCATTTACTCCAAGCTACGCCTCCACGACCTCCCACAACTCGCCACCGAGACCAGGCAACCACCACGCCGCCGGGCCGTGGCTGGGCCAGGCCGATAGCTTAGCACCGCGCGGCGGCGTTCCTGTCAGCTGCCGGATGACTCAGTCACTCAGGATCGCCCCCCCCCCTCCCACTACCACCACCTCTTTCCCCCTCTGCTGCCGCCCCTTCCGGGGCTGCCGCTGCCGATGGTGATTTGCATAGAAGGCGGCCACGACTGGAGGACAACAAACGGCGCCGGTGATGTCCAGGAAGGGCCTCCTCCCCCTCCCCCCACCCCTTCCACGCCGCGTCTTTCCACTACGGCAATCGATACTCATCACTCAGGCGGCAAACAAATGGGCGCATCCGACTTTACCGCGCTGCACTGCGCTTCGCGGCTGCGCCGTGCGGCGGTCGCCTCCCGACAAAGGGTTGCACCCCACCCCCCACCCCTCCCCTGTACCCCGGCCTTGCTCTGTCTTCGAACGGGCCTGATGCGCGGCCGCGAGTGTCACCGCACGCGCTATCGCTGTTTCGCCGCCCCACTGCACGACGACGTTGCCCTGGCTGACGTGTGCGGAGCTTGATACAGACGTGTATAGTGTAGTAAAGTGCCTCTCTCTCTGACTCACGCGGCCGCCTTTCTGTTTTCAGTTTCGGCGTCGCTGATACCGCGTACCGATCCCTACGCGAGGAGCGAAAGGAGCAATGCGTTCTCATTTCCGGTAAGTTTTGAAGGACAGTGACAGTTTTGCAAACTTTTGCGCGCGGCCTCTTTCGGTGATCCGCACACGTCTACTGGACAGGAAAAAGTTTCGCGACGTTCTTATCTCGCTCTTCGACACCATAATGATAATCTCGCGCTGTAATCTCCCCCGTACGTGCGTCGAACACTGTGTCCCCATTCTGCAAAGATATGGGTCATTTGGCACGGTGCACTGAGAAAACAATGAAAAACGTTTGCGAATAACCCGTAGACCATGACGCATTTCTTTCCCCTCCCAGGCGAGTCCGGAGCCGGCAAGACGGAGGCCTCGAAGAAGGTGCTGCAGTTCGTGGCCGCGGCCACGGGTCACCAGCCCAACGTGGTGGCCGTAAAGGACAAGCTGCTGCAGTCGAACCCCGTCCTGGAGGCCTTCGGCAACGCCAAGACCAACAGGAACAACAACTCGAGCCGCTTCGGAAAGTACATGGACATCGCCTTCGACTTCGTGGTGCGTCTCACACTGCTCACTTACATCTATGATGTGTCCACTCGGCGTGTGTGTTTAACCCGTTTCCATCTCTCCTCCAAGGGCGATCCCATCGGCGGCAACATTCTGAGTTACCTCCTTGAGAAGTCCCGAGTCGTCCACCATGCCCAGGGCGAGCGCAACTTCCACATCTTCCACCAGCTGCTGGCGGGCGCGGACGACCAGCTGCTCGCCAAGCTTAAGCTGTCCAGGGACCCCACCCAGTACCACTACCTGTCCAACGGGGTGAGCGAGCACACCCGCCAGGGTGCTGGGAGGCCTTCGCGTAGTCGAACAGCACTGACGGGGAAGGGTACTTCACTCCAAAAATATCAGTTGACACCCTCCAAAAAATAAGGAAAAAATTAGGAAAAATCAACAAAAAAAATCTCAATTTAAACAGCAGAAAAAATCAAGAAAAATGAATAAAAAACATAAAAATTGGTGTATACCTGAAATTTATAGTGGTGCCCCTCGACTAACGGTGCCTCTCTGACCTCACAGCACAGCAAGGCCCGCGACCTGGAGATGCACAACGACCGAGCCGACTTCGCCGCCGTGTGCAAGGCCATGAACACCATGGAGCTGAGCCAGGCCGATCAGGACGCCATCCTGGCCATCGTGGCCAGCGTGTTGCACCTGGGCAACATCACCTTCACCGAGGTGGAGGGCGTGGCCACCGTGGAGCGACCCCAGGACGTGGCCACCGTCGCGGAGGTGCGTACAGTCGGACACGGCGGACTATCGGTCGTATTTATTTTCCCATATCCCTGACCCCAACTTTATTCTCGTGACATTCAGCTTCTCGGATGCGACGCCAGGCGGCTGAGTGACGCCCTGGTGAGTCGGACCATCGAGGCCCGCGACGACGTGGTGACGTCACCGCTGTCAAAGGAGCTGGCCATGTGCGCGAGGGACGCGCTCGCCAAAGCCATCTATGACCGCCTCTTCTCCTGGCTCGTGGGCAGGCTGAACCGGAGCCTCCAGCCGCCCAGCAACCAGAAGAGCGTCGTCATGGGCATCTTGGACATCTATGGCTTCGAGGTGTTCCAGAAAAATGGGTGCGTCACCAGAGCCGAGGCGGGGTACAGGGTACAGGTTTGATTTGTTCAAAGACAGAATTAAATACTCACATTCGATTCTCCGCCCGCTTCTTTCCCGTGCAGCTTCGAACAGTTCTGCATCAACTTCTGCAACGAGAAGCTGCAGCAGGTGTTCGTCGAGCTGACGCTCAAGTCGGAGCAGGCCGAGTACCTGGCCGAGGGCATCGAGTGGGAGCACGTCAAGTACTTCGACAACAAGGTGATTTGCGAGCTGATCGAGGCCAAGCACCGCGGCGTGATCGCGCTCCTGGACGAGGAGTGCCTGCGGCCGGGCGAGCCCACCGACCTCAGCCTGCTGGCCAAGCTCAACGAGCACCTGGGCGCCAACCCGTACTACGTGAGCCACCAGAAGGCCGTCAGGGACAAGAAGAAGTCCATGGTCCGCGAGGAGTTCCGCCTCGTGCACTACGCGGGCGACGTCACCTACGCCGTCGAGGGCTTCCTCGAGAGGAACAACGACCTCCTGTTCCGTGACCTGCGCGAGGTCATGGCGCACTCGTCCAACTCTGTCACCAAGGTGAGTTGTTGTAGCTGTCTGCCGTGTAACTACTGGCCTGGCCGCTAAGCGGTGCCGGGCCGTAATGCATCGTCCTGCTCTTCCATCTCGAACGCCACTCCCTCTGCCCCACAGACCACATTCCCCGTGTCCGAGCTCAACACGCGCAAGCGGCCCGAGACCGCCGTGACGCAGTTCAAGAACAGCCTGAACCGCCTGATGGACATCCTCATGTGCAAGGAGCCGTCGTACATTCGCTGCATCAAGCCCAACGACTTCCAGTCGCCGGACGTGTTCGACGAGGAGGTCGTCAGCCACCAGGTACGTCGCTCGTCTGCCTCTGCGGTCACGTCGCTCTCGCCCTTCCTCTCGGCACGTCGTTAGCACCTGAAGGGGAGGGGGCAGGTTTACGTGTGGGAGGGAGGCACAACTGCAACTCACCTTCACTTTGAAATTTAGACCTGCACTTGCAGCTCTAACACGTTGGGGTATCCGCTTTTCCCAGGTTAAGTACCTTGGGCTGATGGAGAACCTCCGGGTGCGGCGCGCCGGCTTTGCGTACCGCCGCCCGTACGAGGCGTTCCTCGAGCGCTACAAGAGCCTCTGCCCGTCGACCTGGCCCAACTACCGCGGCCCCGCCAAGCAGGGCGTCAGCGAGTTAGTGCAGCACCTCAACTACCAGGCCGACGACTACCGCCTCGGCAAGTGAGTACATTCAATCCTAGCTCCTACTCGAGTCGGCGTGCGGCATCCCGCTCGTCTCGTCAAACCGTCTCACCCCCTCGCCTCCCCCTCCCGCCTCCCGCAGCACCAAGCTGTTCATCCGCTGGCCGCGCACCCTGTTCCGGACGGAGGACGCCTTCCAGCAGCACAAGCACCACATCGCGGCCATCATCCAGAAGGTGTGGAAGGGCCGCCAGCAGCGGAAGCGCTACCTGCGCATGCGCGAGGCGGCCATCCAGATGCAGGCGCTGGCCAGGGGCTTCCTCGCGCGCCGCCGGGCGGACCGGCGCCGCCAGGCGGCCACCACCCTGCGCAACTTCATCGAGGGCTTCATCACCCGCAACGGGCCGCCCACCGACCTCAACAGGTAAAACTAGGGATTTCCAAAAATATATTTAACTGCTCCAGAAAAAATGAAAAAAATTATGTAACTTGAAAATTCAGGACAAATTTCCGCCCTTTTCTGAAACTTAAAATCACATTGTAAAACACGGCAAAAATGATCGAGCATCATCGGGTGACTCTAGACCGAGCTGACGGCGTGGTTGTGTGTCCGCAGGCGCTTCATCATCCTCTCCAAGGCCGAGTACCTGATGCGGCTGTCGAAGAAGCTGCCCCAGTCCGTGCTGGACAAGTCCTGGCCGCCGGCGCCGCACCACTGCGCCGAGACATCCGAGCTCCTGCACACGATGCACACCTCGTGGCTCGCCCGAAAGTACTGCCTGGGTCTCGCCGCGGCGCGCAAGAGGCAGCTGCAGCTCAAGGTGCAGGCAGAGGAGCTGTTCAAGGGTGAGTCGGCTGCATGTTTTGGCGGTGGCAGTTAGGAAGTGCGCGGGTCTGCCTACCTCCACGGCGCTAGCGGGGG